GTGTTGTGACATTCATATCCTAAAATTTCAATTTATAAACTAAAAGTTCAATTCATAAACTAAAAGTTCAATTCATATCCAAAAGGTCCAATTCATATCCTAAAAGTTCAATTCATAAACTAAAAGTTCAATTCATATTCAAAAGTTCAATTCATAAACTAAAAATTCAATTCATATCCAAATGGTCCAATTCATATCCTAAAAGTTCAATTCGATTCACAAGAATAAATCCTAAACCCTAGATTCTAACTAAACTATTCAAGACAATACAAAGTTAATAATTCAATTCTAACTAAACTATTCAAGAATAATAAAACTAATTAACAAAACTAATTAAAACAAGACCTAAACCCTAGTCCTCAATAAAATACAATGTTCAAATAACTGAAACACTAATTGAAACAATAAAATACAATGTTCAAATAATTGAAACAAAACCTAGAAATAACAAATAAATGGGTTGTAATTCAAACATAGAATTTTTAGGCGGAGAAGGAGAGTGGCGGCAGTACAGTGGCAGTGGGCGGCGACGGCAGGCGACGGGCGGTGGCGACGCAGGGTGGGGAATGGGGTTTGCGTGAGGGAAATAGAGAAAGAGAGGGAAGGTATTGAGGGAGGAGTTAGGGTAAATTTGGGGAAGAAAGTAAGAGAAATGAGGGGGAAGGGGGGACCCGTTATTTCATTCTGTATTTCAGAATTACCGACCAACGTTGGTCGCTATTTCTAAAAAAAAAAACTAAATTCTTTTTTGGTTTTTAAATATTATAAGCTATAAAAAAAATTATTATTAGCTATAAATATTTGTTTTACTTAACTATAATTATTATAAATAATTACAAACTATAAGCATAATCTTTACAAAAAATTATATTAACTAGGTAATTACTTTTAACAGATTATAATAGCATCTATGTAAGTAAATTTTCTAACTTATATTTAAGTATATGAGTAATTTCACACACACACATACACTATATTGTAATTGATGATCAATCTTATACATTACTATGTACGAATAATATAATATTATTCTATTTTAGGTCGAGACGTTTTATTTTTTATATTAATCGATATAGGTCAAAACGTTTTGTTTTTAATATTCATCGATGCATCTGAATAAGTTATAAGTCGATGAATCAATTTACAAACATATATATTTGATGATAAATTATATATACTAATTAGGATTTTCACAAGTCTATCAATCCCTAAAAGAACCCGACCCTGGCAGGACTAATCAAACGAGGTAAGAACTAGTCAATACAAGCTCAAGAGTTCATATTCTAACTATTAAAGTAATTTCCCAACCCTAAATACAAGTTTCCTAAAATTTATCCCCGGGCCCACGTGCCCGGATTCCGGAAATTTTTGAAGAAAGTTGTTACCCATAAGCTAAGGATCAAGAATATATGATTTTTACTCCAATCCACAACAAATTTCGTGGTTAGATCTTGTTTTTATCAAACCCTAGGTTTTCACCTAAACCCTTGGATTTCCCTAATTTTTATATGTTAATCTACCCATAATCTATGAATTTAACTCATGTTGTATAGAAATTACTTACCTCAAAGTTCTAGGTGGAAACCCTCTTCCAAAAGCTCCAAAAATTGCCTAAGAGGATGAAGTGAAATGAAATAATGGCCTAAATCCCGCATTAAAAGAATTGGACACGGCCCTCTGATGTCGTATTTGCTACACCAGGTTCGCAAATGCGACAAAAGCCTCGCAAATGCGAAGCCTGGGCTTCAGCTGTTGGGATCGCAAATGCGACCACAAAGTCGCAAATGCGACGTCTGCTGGGATCGCAAATGCGGCAAAAGTGTCACAAATGCGAACACTGCCTGGGTCGGGCTTCATCCCAATTGCGAAGCCATCATCGCAAATGCGAGGTTCGCATTTGCGAACAATGTCTCACATTTGCGAGACATGCAACTGGTGCCAAGAACAGCAGAAAATCTGATGTGCTTTCAACTCCTCCCACACGTCCGAAACTCACCCGATCCCTCGGGGCTCCACACCGAATAGTCACACAAGTCTAACAACATCATACAAACTTTCTCGCGCGATCGGAATGCCGAAATAACATCAAAAACCACGAATTGGACGCCAAAACACATGAATTTACTCATGAACTCTAAGAACTTCTAAAAGACTTCCGCGCGTCCGATTCCTATCAAATCAACTCGGAATGACGTAAATCCAAACCCGATATCAAATAGTCCACCCTCGGTCAAACTTTCCAAAAACTTCAAGTTCTAACTTTTCGCCAAATGACTCCGCAACGACCTACAGACTTCCGAATCCACTTCTAGACGCGCTCCTAAGTCCAGAATCTTCATATGGAGCTATTCACAGGCTCAGATTCCCAAACGGACGCCTAGAATGTAAAAATCCACTTCAACCCAAACTTATGGAATTTGCTCAAATTTCCAACTTTCACTATTAGGCGCCGAAACGCCCCTGGTCATCCAAAACCCAATCAGATCATACGCCCGATTTCGAAATCATCATACGAACCTATTGGAACCGTCAAATCCTAATTCCGAGGTTGTTTACTCAAAATGTTAATCGAAGTCAAACTTGGCCTTTTATGCCGACCTTAAGGAACCAAGTATTCCGATTTCAACCCAAACTCTTCCTAATCCCGAACCAACCATTTCCGCAAGTTATAAATCAGTAAAAGCAAGTATGTGAAGTCTTTTTAGGGGAACATGGTTCTAGAAAGCAAAACGACCAGTCGGATCGTTACAAGCTACTCAACCAACCTCTGATGGAGATTTGATTCTCTATTTTTTTTAGAGGTTTATAACCTTATTATGATGGATTATTCGTGTATGCCATTTTTTGACCAGGTCGCATCTCTCTTATCTATCTTTATTGCCTATTAGTTTATAAGTTTGGAGTAGATGAATGTTCTCTAGCAGAACTTTAGTCAAGCTTATCTCGCCATTCAAGATTCTAATACCTTAAAAACTTATTGCAACTTCAAAGGTCTCATCAAGTATTAAATCAACATCACGGTGATAAGTACGAAATATTGATCTTCATGGCCTCGTCTTTTTAAGTTTGGAGTAGATCGATGGATGCTATATAGAAGAAATTTACTCAATCATATCTAATTGTTTAAGATTCTAATAACCTAAAAGTTGATGAAAACTTCAAAAGGTATCAAGCCTCAATCAACATCACAGAGGTAAGTTAGGAAGAGGATCTGGGTAAGGTGCACATATAGGGAAGGACTCCATCGCCAAATATTCACTACAGCCTCCCGTACTCCTCCTTGAACCTACATATTTTTCTCAAGCAAGTAAGATGGCATATTAAAGACATCATATGCAAGAGGAATAAATTGCATTCATTTTGTAATGCTTTCATCTAACTTGTACTTTGGTATCTTCCTCGGGGTGCTAAGCACCTTGTCGGGTGTAGGTGATCACTCCAAGTTGAAACTTAATGTCGATGGTTCCATGGAACGCTACAAAACGAGAGTTGCATCAAAGGATTTCAATCAAGAAGTTGGAGTGGACAATTAAGACTTAGTGCTGTTAAACCTACCACAATAAGAATTGTCCTCACTTTTTTTAGAAATGAAGAAGGGTCCATGTGGAAGCATTGACAAGACGAAAAAATCGATTGTGGTACTAACTTGTGGTTTAAGCTATAACAATGTGGGGAATTCTGAAAGGAGCAAAGGGAGATTATGGCAGGTGACACTAGAAGAGACACAATTATCAAAATCAGTAGGGAAGAAAATTTCGAGTTAGAACAAAACTTGGAGCTATTTTTCCATGGTTTGAGGAGGCATCAATGAAATGTGTTTAAATATGATATTATGATGATGAAAAGTGAGTCGTGAAGAGAATATAAATAGAAAAAGTTGAGAGATTAAAGAAATTTAGAGATACAAGTTATGATCCATAGCCCTATGGTGTTAGTTCAACAAAAAAGTATTACAATGCAGGATGTGTGTAAGGCACATGTCAAGAGTTTGAGTTTGAGTATGAATGAAGGATGATGTTTGGTGTTTAAGTGAATAATGATAGAAAAAAAGGGAGGCATCTAAACTAGGTAAAAGAGAAACGAACACATTTCTTATCTCAATTGGGTGAGAAGGAATTTTCTCTAAATTTCTCCTACTCAACTAGTATCACCCATTTATCCCAATTTATGTGAGAGTGTTTGACATGACACAAAGTTTAAAAGACAAAAATAATTTCTACACTTACCGATGGAATACTATTTTGTAAACTATAGTAGAAGGAGGTGAGCGATTAATTTCTGATCGGCCAGGAAATTGAAGCTGCTAAATGTTTGACGTAATATATAACACTTACATATAATTGGTCTTTAATTGACTTGATTTCACAATTTTTTTGCTATCCGTGGAAAACAACTCAAATAAAAATTAAGATGAATTATGTTAATATGCTATTTAAAAAAAATATGTACATCTTTTTAGATCATGTAAAAACGAATATGTCACAATTTTTTATAGTTAACCTTTTAAAAATAATACTGTAATCTATTCGTTCCAAAAAGGATAAACTTATTACTATTTGATGAGTCAAACAAAATTTTTTGATCATATTTTTCACATAGTTTTTAAATATTTTAAATTATTAACTATTGTGACTTATAGTACTTTTTGTATAGTTTTTAAATATATAAAATTTTATTTTCAAAAACATAAAAAATTCATGTCTGAATTTACACTGAAAATTAGTAACTTTTACTATCGTAACTCGAAAAGGTTCAAACAAATTGAAATTGAGGGAATATGAAAACTGTACTAGTTAAAAAATATACACTTCATCTGTTTTCTTTTTTGTTTTAGCAGTCTATATTTATAATTACGATCTTTTGAGTAAATTCTTAAATATATATATAAAAATTAGATTAAAATAAAATCAATACTCGCCTGATAGTTACAGACTCACAGTAAAGCATAAGAACACGGGCTTTCTCAATAAAATAAATAATCACCAGTTGGGCTACCTTGAAACAAACAGCAGCAGTCCCCAGAGAATCAAAAGGAATCCTCAAACAGGTTTCCTGAATCAAAATACACAAACCAAATCTAGTGAGGGCACCCCCACCACGCCCCGCCCCAATTTCTCTAGCCCCTGCCCCACTCTCTAGTCTCTACTCCGGGTTCACGCAGATATTTTTCATCCCCTCTCTATTCATTGTTCTCTCCTCTCTTTCCGTCTCCCTGAACTTAACTGGTGGGTAAATATATTCTCCCGTTTCTCTTTCTGCTGAAAAAGCCATTGAAATGACTTATTTTTCTTTCAATTCTCAGTGCATCTTCATTCATCTTCTCCTCAAATTGTCCGATTAGCTTTTCGATCACTCACAACACTATGAAATTGCAATTTTTTTGGCCATTAATGGCGGTGGTTCATTCACCGCTTTTCTGTTTTGTTTCTAAGTAATATAGAAAAAATCTTTTTTTAGTATCATATGCTAAACGCAATTTTCATCTTTGCTTATAGACTGACTACGTTTTGCGATACTTTTGCTATACGTTTCATGTTTTCTTTTCATCATAGGAGTATAATTTTGTTCAACTTGCTGATCAGAATCGTTTTTCGTTTTGCTTTTTCAATTTTCTTTTGGAACTTTTCTCAGATCATAAGTTTTTAGAAGATACAATATGTACTCACTCCCAGCATTGCGGAAATGCCGTTGCTTCGTGTTTCAGGTGCGTAATGCTGTTTCTATCATATTTATTACATATTTAAATTAAATATATGTTTCAATTAGTTTATTCTTTCTTCTTTGCAATTTTTTTGGTTCACAAAGCTTTTCCTTGCCGAGTTATTGGGTTTCGTTTCTTTAATTACGAGGTCCATAAGCATCTTATGTTGGTTTTAGTGTCACATTTGATGTACTGTTGCTAATTAATTTCGCTCTAGTATTTCATAGAAAGAATCACTTTAATGTTTCTCGGTTGAATCTGTGGTGGCTCCATATTTGTTATTGCATGTACCCTTTTTTTTTTGGGTTTCTGCTGCATTTTTTCTTTTGTGGCACTAATTCATCACAAGAAATAGATACTAGTAGTAACTTTTACCTTATGGCATGTGAAATATGCTTCCTGCCTGTGTGATATACTCTTAGTGCCGCTGTCTTATGGCTTCTCCTGGGAACTGTGTTATGATCTGCATTACGTTTTGCCTTCCTGTTAATGTTGTCATGAATTATGGTGTTATTGATCTAAAGTGTATCCATGCTACATCATTTAAAATACAGACCATTTTACCAGTATAATGGCCTACAGTAGAAGTTGAACTGAAATACCACTTGGCAATCTAAATAAAATCTAGTAACACCATGTTAATTTTTACCCATTACTCTAGGAAAATAATGTTCAACATTAACTAGCTTTGTTCCTCTAGAATTGCTTAGAGATCATATTCAAAGCGATTTTCCTCGTGAAATGGCTTGGCTACCTAACCTACTTTTTTGTATTTAAACACATGTACTAACATTAATTAAGGATTTTTGAAAGAAAATTAGGGTTTTCATTTTACAGTTCGAGGAGAGACCAATAAACTCATATTCCCTCCGTTCTACTTTATATTATCCTATTTTCGTTTTAGTCAATTCCAAAAAGACTGACCTCTTTCTAAATTAAATGTGACTTCTCATTTTGCCCTTTCTTAGAAGCTTTTGTAGCCACAAAAACGTTCCGGCATATTTAAGATCAAAAGTTTCAAAAGTATTATAGCCACACAAATGTTATGACATATTTACGATCAGAAGTTTAAAAAATCTTCTTTTCTTTCTTAAGTTCTGCGGTTGAAAAGGAGGAAGTATTTGACATGAGCCTATGAAAACAGAAGTGAGTAGTTGAGGAGCATATGGGAGAATTGAAGGGGCAAGTGAAAAAGGTTAAAGAGAGTAAAGTATGTAGAATGCAATATAAGTTATGATCCAAAAAGTATAAGTTTTTTATGCTAATTATGAAAATATTAGTTATGGATCCATGTGGGATGCATAGGGATGGGCTAATAGGAGAAGGAAGAGATAGATAGAGTCGGGTGAGAGGAGTGAATGCCTCAAGTATAAGGGGCATTATCAAGGTGGGGTTAAAGGAGAGATGTATGATTAGTGTGCTTGCAAGAAATAAAAACGAAAAAAATACCAAAGTTAATTATCATAAGTGTGTGAAAACATAAGAGTGAGAAGTGAAATGATATGCCTAGGAGGAGATAAGAAGGGATTGTGGTGTTATAAGACATGTCGATGTTGAAGTTTCGAGATGTGAGGAAGGAGATTCCACAATTTTTGTAATCTTTGAAAGTGTGGATAGTTCATTCGAGTGAGATTGATGGGTTGGCAAGTGAGGGGTCAAAATGGAGTTTTGAGAGGAGATCTCATTGGTGATGCTAGGATGGGGTAATGTGAGATAAATCGGGATTTCAATGCAATAAGACTCCCGGAGTAAAGAGAGGAATGTGAGGCCAGTATTTAAATTCCAACATAGGCAAAAATAGTAGGTGATTATTCTCCTATACATGTGCTTATAGGAGATGACTGAATGGCAGTTACTTGATGGATTAGTCGAGTGCATGCGAACTGGCTCGAACATTAACGTTTTAAAAGAAAAGAAAGAGGTGGTATGCCATTCCTTGGGCAATGGGAAATTCCCGATGTAATCAACTCTCTCCCATTTGTTGACTTTCCCATGGCAGCTGTTAAATTTATCTGGTCCACAACTGAAGAGTCAATCAAGGCTCGACAAGTTTCTCATACAACCGTCTGGGATGGGATGTTGCTAATATTCATCCAAATCGCTTCTTGTATGCTAATATTAAACCCTATATTGATTTTGTAGATTGTAGCAGAATAAGGAGTACCCTTCCTAACAATTAGAAGCGATCGGTGCTGGATGGATGGAGGTAGTACCATATCCAAAGGGATCCTCTTTTTGTCTGGCGAAGGAGTTGAAGCGGCCTAACAAATTATTTAAGGTGGACCAGAGAAGTACTTTAGAGGATAAAAATATAACAAGGGAACTGATGAATGAATTTGGACAATTGGAGAGTAAAGAGAGAGGGGGCTTAATTAAGAGGGAAAAATTAGGAAGTATGAGGTAAAAGAGTAATTAGCTAACATGACACTGACAGTCACTCAAGCATTAAATGGAGATAAAATATGAAGATATTGTGGTTGAAGAAGGGTGATTATTCTTTTTATCTGTTAGCAATTGCTAGTCGGATGAGGAATTTTATGGTCACAATAAAGGTGAAATAGGAAGAATATGGAGAAAAAGGAAGTAAGAGGAGTTATTGAGTGAAGATAATGTGGACATAAAACTCTAAAGAGAGTGGATTTTAGCAACATACGGAAAGAAGAGGCAATCAGTTGGAGAGGGAGTTCTTATTGTTGGACGTTTGGGGGATGTTGTTACTGTTCATGGAAGTGCTCATCAAAGCTAAAAATAGAGTTGTGATTGGGGGTTATCTAAGATCCTTGTAGCTAGCATGGAAGGCTGGACCAATGAAGGGATGTTTCATCTTCTTTTGCGGACAGTACTCTTGCATATTATGACCTCGAGGCGCATCAACTCCGCTACTTGAAAAGCACATAATTATCTAGGTAGCTTTTAGTCTGAAGATAGACATGAAAGAGTGTGAGATAAGTCTAGTGGGTAAGGAAGATAACACAGAGCAACCAAATGAGATCCTATTGTATGGTTGGTTCCCCTTCTGTCGACTAAATGCAGCTTATTATCTAGTTCTTATAGCCTTTCCATGGTGTAAATGGTAAAGTTACATGGGTATTGCTCGGTATTCTTTCTCCTTATCTTTATAGGATTAAAGCTTTGATTTGATGTGCTATTTTTTCTTTTTCATTGGACAGTTCTTTTTGGTCCTGATTATGTTGAACTGTCATATTTTCCTATCGTTAAACGTAGTCTTATCTTGAAATGGATTTTTACCATACATTTGGTGGCTAATGGGGTGTATTAGCATTTTGCTAAATGACAAGGCAGTTAGTACTTAGTTCTATTTGAGCTGGGCTGGATTCCATTCCATGGATAGTCCCGGATGTGATCGAAATCTTTAGTGCATTTGTTTAATCATATCCTTGAATAAAGTGCATCATACATGTTCCTAGTGATTTTAATTGAATAATTCCTCTGCTCTAGAGTACAACGGCTAAAGTACCTAATTCTTTGTGTGGATTTAAACATAGATTCTTCAAGTCTTTGAAATGAAATTTACATAGTTGGAAACTGCATAAAAGGTACTATAGGTCACAAAAGTTAATAATTCAATATATTTGAAAGGTTTTAAAAAAAAAGGGGGTTGTGGTCAAAGAACTCCCAAAATAGTAAAGTGGACCTTCCCCCCCCCCCCCCAAAAAAAAAAAGAAAAAGAAAAATGTGATAGAGAAAGTAATAGGTTTTAGAGGGATAGAAGAAATAAATTAGATACATTTTTTAGTTTTTACTGATATAATTTAGTTACAGTCATGCAACAAAAACTGACTTTTTACCACATATTCAATATAATAGATTTCATATCTTAACTGTGAAATATGATTCAAGAATAACCAAAATGGTTATGATAGACATCAAGATGACAAGATCATAATGCTATTGCTATACATTGTTTGTTTTATGCTTTTGAACAAATGAACGTGCATCAATGCACGTGCGGAGCTAGGGTGGCGAAAGGGGGTTCCCTTCGCCGGAAAATTACACTGCATATATATGGTCAAATTTTTTATGTAGATATATTAGGTATCGAATCCCCTTGGCCTCTCTGCATGTCTACTTTTTTGTTTTTTGAATCCCCTTGGCGGAAATCCTAGCTTCGCCACTTGTATTCGTAGCTCATACCAACATATCACCATAATACATTTTCTTTTCTCTTTCTTTTCTTTTTGTAGAGTATTTCTGCCTCTATTCGTTTGAGTCTGTGCCTCTTATATCAATATGGTTCAAGTCCCAACTCCTCCCCAATTGTACTTCACTCCCTTCTTTTTTCTGCCAATCTCCTTTTCTGTGGAAAAGGAGAGCTCGTTCACAATAAGCGTCAAGTTTTGGGAAGTAATAAGCTGGGCTAGCTTTCGGTCTCTGGTTCAACTACCTTGAGTAATGCCAATTTTTTGGAATGGTTGAAGTGGGTTAAAACATATATAAAGTTTAAAAAAATTTCTGAAGCTCATAAAGAAAGGGGAAACAAAGCTTGGTGATTTGACCTCATACTAAATTGTAATGGCGCCTCAAATTGAAACTTAAGGCAGTACAAATGAAGTTCAGGAATAAGGTTACTACACTATTTCCTTGCCTGTACCGTTAATAGAATAACATATTAATGTTATGGTCGTAACAGTGCATACTAGTATATGTACCTTTCTGTAGTTTTATTTACTTTTAGACCCTCTAAATAAGATTGCACATTTGTTATGTTGCTAAATTCTCATGATGACCTAAAAATTTTCATGATGACCTTCAGTTAAACCATGATAGAACTGAAAATGAAGGATTCAAGGGGCTTAACTTAGCTTACTATATAATATATATATAATTAAAAAAGGACAATTTGAAAGAACCTCAATATTGGCATCTCCAAGAGAGAACCATGCCATCTTACTGAAATATGGTGTATAGATCCTTGCTCTGTTCAAGGTCTATCCTTGTCCTGCCTGTCAGGGAATTCTTAATTTGTTGCTACATTGATGTAAAGTGTTATTTAGTTGAGATACTGCAGTAACACTAGATGGTCCATTCTTTTTCCTTGAGTCGTGTCAGTTTCCTCTGAATTTGTTCGATTCTGCATCTTTATGAACCTTACTAAACTAGCTGTCTTCATTTTTATCCAACTGCTAAGCCGATATGAAACCTTATCTATGCCTCTTTTGTTTCTATTTGTCTGGAACTGAGAATCTTTGGCTAAAAGAGATTGTTTAATTATGTTTTGTGTTCTCAGCGTTTGAAATTGCTGCTGCTGCCATTGACCTTTGGTTGTAATAAGTTTTCCAACCATTTTTGGTATTGGCATTGTAAAAGATGCTCAATCGTGCTGATTATTCCACTAAAAACTAAGAAGAAACTTCTCCTTTTTGTTTATTTTACACAATTTTCTGCAATTTCCCGAGCAGGTGGGATCATATTCTTTGGTAACATTGCATGCTTGCAGTTTTGCTGTTTGAAGAGAAATTCAAATTTCTAGTTTTAATTCCTTTACCTTGTATTGTAGTACCTGTACACACTAAATTTTGATAAGCTCCGTGTGAAGTTTTTGCTTCTTTTTTTTTCCAATTCCCTAGTTTCTTATTCACTACTCAATATTCCTTCATTCACGTTCATGTAAACTACATCCAGATAGCAGTTGAATAGTCTTTTGTGGTTAAGACTCTACACCTTTTAGATGACTGTCTTCTGCCTATATGTATTTCCTGAAGTAATACAGAAGACTTCTGTCTGAGATGAACTTTATGATCAGACAGTTCATGACCTAAGCACGAATGCTTTCTTGTTAATTTAAGTGTGCAATCCGTTGCTGTGCAAATAGATAATTTGGTGAGACTTTGTCTGGTGTAGTATAGAAATTGTTGTTGATTGCGCATGCCATTCATGTCGGTTTAGCATTGGGATCCTTGTGATCCAGAAATAACTTGTTTAAGAAGCATTTACTATATTTCTTATTTAAAAAAAAAGCTCTTACTGTATTTGGCAGCAAAGAATGTAGTACTCAAAATTGTGAAGCATGTTTCATATATTGTTTCCTGATATAATTCTTTCTATACATATTTAGTCTTCAAGCTCAAGATCATTCATTCTGAAATTCCTGGGAAGAGCATTACTAATGTAAATTCGTAACGTGTATTTTTCTTTTCCAGTTGAATGCTGAAATTTGACATTGGTTTGTAATGAACTTAGTTTGTCCTTTCTGAAGACTATTGCATGCAAAGCATATTGATGCAACTTTGAGGTATGTCTTAATGTATTAAGTTGCTTAGCTCAGATCTGTACCGTTTGCATGTGGTGTGTTTCTCAAGGAATTTCTATGAGAAGCTACTGTTTTGTAAAACCTTTTCTGCTTACATCTCTTCGCTATTGCTCCTGTTTTAAGTTGTCAACTATTTACAATTATTTCAAAAGTGTCAAATCAATTATAATCCTAGCATATATGCATACACATCATAAGCATCAAGTGTCAGAAAGATAAAGAACTTAGAGATACTGTGCCAATGTATTCTTTTATTTGTTGTTATTTTGACTTAAGTAGCTGTGCTAAGGATTACCTCACACTTGTCAAACTTGCTGACATTAACCATATGAAGGGAAGATTTTTTCCTGACATCCCTGGTTCTATACCACTACTACCATTACTAATTAAAACATAGCTTTCTAAGCACGGACTGCTTCTTCAACATGAGAACTCAAAACTCTACGAGTCTGGATTTCCCGCTAATGCAGCTGTAGCCTGCAGCATGTTCCAGTTAGATGATAGTCAATGATCAAGGTAGTGAGCTACCATTATGCTTCCAGATAAAGTATATGAATAAGAAATTACCCCAATTCGGTAGTTCCTGATGTGTCATAGTTTTGTTGCTGTGGCTGGCTAAGCTGGAGATGTACAGGAGCGTGGGGGTCTTCATTAATGCTTAAACTGTTCGGAGCAAGGGCATTTCCGCCCACTCCATTTGCATCTCTATTTCCATAAACCTGAAGTTCAACACAAAATGTACACACAATTTGCTAGAGTTCTAAGTAGAATGGTGAAACTTTTTTACATGGTATATGAATACGGAAGGAAATAATTGTTCTTGAAGCGCAGTGAAAGCTCTTAGTGATGTACATGGATACCTTTTTATACAATTCCATATTTTCTTGACGAATTAGGTTCACCTTCTTATATAGTTCCATGTTTTCTTGATGGATGAGGTTTCCCTGCAAGGAAAAAAAGTAAATTTAGCTTCTTTAATAGTTATCCTTTTTAGAACAAATTGAAAATAGAAGTCACTGCATTTTATGTTGATTGACCTTTCGGTTTAGTTCTTGTATCTCATCAATCAGAATTTCATCCTGTAGCAATGAAGGTTGAGTTAGTTCTTTCTTAGTTCATATAAGATGGTGCACATTTGATGGATCTGGAAGTTCGTACTTTTCTCACACGAACACCACGGAGACTCATTTCCAGTTGGTTCTCCAAGTTCTGTAAATCTTTGACGCTCAGACCAGAAAGCTCTTCACCCATCATTTGTCTATAGTGCATAAATAAACTGTTAACAAACATGCGACTTCAACAGAAAAATTGATACCTGACTGACTAATTTAGATATACATCCCATTTCTAACAACCGTTACTTCTCGCTTCTTGTTTTTTTTTTTTTTTTTTTAATGTTAAACAGCTTGAGGGTTTGGGCTTTTGCAGAAATCGATAACACCATTTGAGATGGGCTTATTATTGGCTTTTGCACTCCAACATTGAGAGGTTTCTGAGTTTATCTAGTGTAAACACCTCTACAGAATCGTTCAGTAAATTGCATGATTCACTGCAGTATATTTTGCAAAATGTAGTATGCTTTAGAAGCCCATGCTAATACTTCTAATCATAAGAGACAAGAGATACTGAGTGCTGCTTGATACTTTAACGCCTTGATGTGAGGGATAATGGTAAAGATATTGTAAGGATTATGCTCACGGAATGCCTCATCATTTTGATTGGAATACCACTAACCTCAAATAATCTGAGTGTCCTTTCTGTTAGCACTTACAGATATAACCTTCTTATGGAGGATCTAGAGCGGATATCTCTGTATCATCTGCTATTTTGAAAACTGAAAATGCTACCAGCTATCTAGTGGCACTTCCTAGCAAGGTGGCTGATAATTTAACCCTTAATTTCTTGCACAACAAAAGCTTTTTTAGGGAAATTGGTGATTATCCTAGGGTTTGCCTAAAGCAATAAAAAACAGAAATGAGAAAAAGGAACGACAAGTTAACTTTTTTAACAATAAAAAAGCAAGTCAACTATTTCATTAGCTTAACTATAAACTAAATGAAATGACAACAAACATTTAGAATTAGTCAACTATTAACTAATTCAAATGAAAACTTGACTTCTGGGCTCCAAAATGACGAAATAAGTTGAAATGGAAAGGTCTTCAACATATAATTTAGGAGGCAAAGTACTAATAGAACTATAGGATTGAAAGATAGATAGAAATGACAGGAAAGAAGAGTACAACAACAACATACAACATACGCAGTGTAGTCCCACAAGTGGGGTCTAGGGAGGGTAATGTGCACGCAGACCTTACCCCTACCTTTAAGAAGGCATAGAGGTTGTTTCCGGTAGACCGTCGGCTCATGAAAGATAAAGAGAAGGTGCAATAACAAGCAAACCAATCGGAAAGCCGAAGCGAAAATACAAAACTAATACTAGGTAATGCAATCAGATAGCCAAAGCGAAGGTAATAAGTAATAACAGAAGTCTTGGAAGACGAAAATACACGGAAGGCACTAAATGATGTACTAGAGCTACCGTAACAAACAAGGACAACGTTTGACTACCTAACCTTTTACCTTTATTTTCAACCTCTACGCCTTCCTATCCATGGTCATGTCTTCAGTAAGCTGGAGCAACGCCATACCTTGCCTAATTAACTATTCCAATACTTCTTCGGCCTGCCTATACCTTTTTGTTGGCCCTCCAATGGCAACCTCTCACACCTCCTCATCGGTGCACCTGTGTCTCTCCTCTTCACATGCCCGAATCATCTAAGTCTCGCGTCCCGCTTCTTATCTTCCACAGGGGCCACGCCCACCTTGTCCTGGATAACCTTATTTCTAATTATATCTAACCTGTATGCCCGTGCATCCATCTCAACATCCTCATTTCAGTCACCTTCATCTTTTGGACATGAGACATCTTGACTGGCCAACACTCCGCTCTTTACAACATAATCGGTCTGACCGCCGCTTTATAGAACTTATCTTTAAGTCTTGGTGGCACATTTTTATCATACAAAACACCGGAAGCGAGCCTCCATTTCATCCACCCCTCCCCCCCCCCCCCAAACCCCAATACGATGTGTGACATCCTCGTTGATCTCCCCATTCCCTTGTATAACTGACCAAAGGTACCTGAAACTTTCTCTCCTAGGATGACTTGTTAATCAAGCCTCACGTCTTCGTCCACTGCCTGAGTTGCACCACTGAACTTGCACTCCAAGTATTCTGCTTTGGCTCTGCTCAACTTGAAACCTTTAGACTCCAGGGTCTGCCTCCAAATCTCTAACCTCTCGTTTACACCACCTCGCGTTTTGTATACAATGTCATCTGCAAATAACATGCATCACGACACCTCCTTTGAATGTGGCCCGTCAGTGCGTCAATCGCCAGGTTAAATAGAAATGGGCTGACCCCTGGTGCAACTCCATCACAACTGGGAAGTGTTCCGAGTCCCCTCCCAGTGTCCTCACACGAGTTTTAGCTCCATCACACATGTCCTTAATAGCCCTAATGTATGCAACAGGAATATGTCTAGTCTCCAAACATCTCCACAGAACCTCCCTCAGCACTTTATCGTAAGCCTTCTCTAAGTCTATGAACACCATATGTAAACAGAGGAAAGAAGAACAGGTAATTTTTTTTTTTTTGCTCGGAATGTGTTTTTAGGAATAGGAACGGAGGAAGGAAGAGGTAGTTAAGTTCGTTAAAACACAATGTTCTGTCCAAAAGTGGGTGAAACAAAGAAAAACAGGAAATGCCGTAGTGAAACTTTTGTAGCATTAAAAGAAGTCTCAGGATTATGAACAAAATAAACTATTAAAGGAATTAGTGTCAATTAATACACATTCTTTTTGTATTTCCTCACTCCACCAATTTGAAGACAGAAAAATAACACTCTGCTCTCCTTTTCTTTCTTTTTCTCTACATCATCTCCATTCTTCTCTTTTCCCTTTTCTCAATCCAAAGATCAGTGTTAAATAGTTTAAGTAGAGTAATGGAGGAAATAATTCATTTAGCCTAGTTACTTTGTTGATGAATTCAATAATATACTGATATTATGGGCAGATTCCCATATGTATCCAAATCCCCGGAAAGAGCATTTGGTCATCAATACTGTTTGAGATACCATACATTCTCTAAAAACAACACATCCCTTATGTAAATACCATAACCTGTCCAAGTTTTAATGGGTTTGGGCTAGAACAATTTTGAAAATGGACTGTTTTGGGCTAGCCCAAGTAACCCATCAAAAATCATCAGCCCAAATGGACCCATGATGATGCCCAACCTTGATCTTAGAGTTTTACCTTGACCCATGTTTTGGAAAATATTTTCTAATTTTCCTATGTTTGGTTAGTTTAAGTGTTTGAAAAACATTTTCTTTATGTATTTATTTTTCTCCAATTGGAGGAAAATGTTTTCCCTATCAAGAGAAGGAAAAATATTTTCCAAAACTCTTTTTCAACCTTCCCCATCTCCACCAACCCTCACCACCCCGCCCCACCCGAATCCCCACTCTCACCCAACCCTACCCCTACCCCTACCCCCGACCCCACCCAAAATATATGAAATATTATTTAGAGTACTTTTTTTCATGATGTAGATAAAGTAATTGCTTTCATTTCAATAAAATGAATATTTTCTTTTCGTGACGTAGAAAAAGTATTTTACAAAATGAATACTTTCTTTTCATGATGTCAAATGATTTATTTAACTAATTGTTGTTGACAAAAATTATCATCAAACATGAAAAAATCTGAAAACAAAGAAGAAACACATTATCACAACAGAAAAAACAACAAATAAAATTTATTCAATAAAATAAAGGACGGGTACTGAGCTATTTTTTTAGGTATCACAATAAAATAAAGAAAGTACTCATTTTATTGAAATGAAAGAAAATATTTTTTCTACAACATGAAAAGAAAATATTATTTTTGTTGAAATAAAAGAAAATACTTTTTCTGCATCATGAAAAGCAAATACTCTTTTTGTTGAAACAAAAGAAAAATACTTTTTTTACAACATAAAAAGAAAGTACTCTTTTTGTGAAAAATAAAGTACTTTTTCTACATCCTGAAAAGAAAGCTTTTATTTTATTGAAAGGAAAGAAAATACTTTTCTACATCATAAAAAGAAAAGGCAGAATAGCCTAATAGACACTCATACTTGCATCGTTTTGACATCCCGGTCCTTCTACTTTACGAGTTTTCATCTAGACACCTCTACTTGATTAAAGTCAACTCTTTAAACGTCTCTGACCGTTGACCGAGCTTATGTGGCTTTGATATGGTTGAGATGGACAAATTGTGTGTAATTCACACGTGCAAAGAGAGTGATACTGCTAATTTTGATTATTACAAAAGGGTTAAAATCAAAAAAGAAGAAGAAGAAGAAATAGTTGAGAAATTAATCAAAAATAAATTTTGACAACCCAATCTCCTCCCCCATTTTCTGTTCTTCCTCAATTTCTCTCCCCCCCCCCCCATGTCGTTCCAAACCCCTTGTCCCCCTCCCTCTTTTTTCCTCGACACCACCAAAAACAATGGCTAAGGCTTCAAAACTCCAAAATCAGATAGAAATATATTATCTTTCTCTGTATTTTATCAAATTTTTTTATTTCTTGTTTCATTTTCTATATAATAAAATCCAATTGATTTCTCCATTTAACTTCTAGAAGTACCTTTGTATTCTTCTTCCTTTTTCTGTCAACTCAAAACCAAACTTTACTAAAAACAATGACGGAGGCAACGAAATTCCAATTAATTAGTTCTTCAGGTGATTTCGAAATGTTGGAGGTCCGTTTTGGGTTTTCCTTTTTCTTTTTTTCAAGGGAGGAAGATGAGATGGGGGATTTTATGGTGATTCCGACGGGTGGTTTTTAGAGGAAGGTGGTGGCTAATTTTTTTTTTTGTGTGGTTACCAGTGGTAACATTGGGGAGAAGTTAATGGGTGAGGATGTACTTATGGATGAAGAAGCGTTCTGGTGAGATTTGGAAGGACGATCTTCGGTGGGGGTTATGGAATGGTTCACGTGGTTCACGGTAGTGAGAAAAGAATGAGGTGTACTACGGTATGGTTCTTTGTTGGTGAAGGAGTCGTTTGGGATTTTTCTTCTTTTCTGTATAAAGAAAATATTTGCTGAGAAAATAAATGATGTGGCATAGTCTTTTTCTGATGTGGATGCTAATGTGTTATCCACTCGGCGCGATTGAGGGACACACTCGGTTAGATATGTTTAAAGGATTGACTTTGATCAAGTGGAGGTGTCTAGATGAAAACTCGTAAAGTATGAGGACCGGGATGTCAAAACGATGCAAGTATGAGTGTCTATTAGGCTATTATGCCAAAAGAAAATATTCATTTTGTTGAAATGAAAAAGAAAATACTCAATTGACAACATTAAAAGAAAATACTTTTTCTACAGCAGGAAAAGAAAGTACTCATTTTTGTGAAGAAGAAAAAAGTACTTTTTTGACATCATGAAAAGAAACTACTTATTTTATTGAAATGAAAGGAAATACCTTTTCCATATCATAAAAAGAAAATATTCATTTTGCTGAAATGAAAAGAAATTACTCTATCTAAAACATTAAAAGAAAGTACTCTAAATAATATTTTTATTTAGGTTAGGGTGGTGGGAGGTAGGTGGGAAGTTCTAATTTTCTAAGTTGCTCAGACTCGGGTGCGGGTATCCGATACAGGGACGGATCCGAGTATCGGATTCGGCAAAATCTAAATTTTAAGATTCGGGGGTGCGAATCCGAATATGGATACAGGTGCGGGAGTTCGGCTAATAAAAAATAGAGCTATAAAAATATTGTAAATTTTGAGAGATATTCTGTGAAAAACTTACATGAATATTGTAGAATTCAATCTTTCATTCTCCTAAATTTGTTTTATTTTTGATTTTGAGAATTCAAAATCTCAATTTCTCTCCCAAATTTGTCGATGGACTCGTGTCAAAGTGTCCGAAGTCAGTTGACCGAATCGGGGATGTATCCCGCTCCCGCTGCCGTCCCCGTCTTGTATCGGGACGGGGACGACACCAAAATCAAAAAATCCGCGCAACTTAGCTAATTTTACTAGTTTTTTATTATTCTGATCTTTGTTAGTATTATAAGACGAAGAACTGTTAAATAAAATTCTAAATCCAAATTGAGGAAAGAAATGATTTGGCATGAATTGACATTATGCCAAAATATAAGATAATTTTTATATATATGCTTGTTAAAAAGTTGAGAATATTGCAAAGATTTTGGGTCAATTTGGGCGTTGCTCAAATATCTCAAAAGCTACCGTGGGCTGACATGAGTTCAATTTAAGAAAATATGTGAATTGCTTCACACGCAAAAACATCCTTATTTTTATTCTATTGGTCATTGAACAAGTTATTAGTAGAAAGAAGAAATATATGTGATAGAGAACAAGAAAGTTTACCGATGATTCTCTTGCAAGTTTTGTAGTTGTTGCCTCATCATTGCCGCTTCCCTTTGCCAAAACTGCTAAGAAGAAAACATATTTCTTACATTTTGGATTATCAAGAACAAGAATAACATGCCTAGTGTGATCCCACATGTGGGGTTTGGAGAGTGTAGGGTGTACGCAGACCTTATCCCTACCTTGTGTGAGGGAGAAGTTGTTTTCGATACACCCTTGGCTCAAGAAAAAAATTTTCAGAACAGGTTCGAAAAATACAAGAGTAAAAAAGCTATGATGAAAGTACTGAAGAAAAGAAAAGTATTGCCAGCAAAATAATAAAGATAATCGAAATAAAAACACTAGTTGTATAAAATTGAAGAATAAGATAATAATAATAATACACGAATAAAGAGAACAGGGTGCTCTAAACTAGAACCACTACTCTCCCGCAAAAAAGAGAGAAATCGCTTGACTACCTACTAATATTCTACTCTAATCCTCGGCCTCCAAGCTCTCCTATCTAGGGTTGTCTTCAGTGGGCTGAAAATGTCTCATGTCCTGTCTAATCACATCTCCCCAGTTCTTCCTCGGTCTACCTCTACCTCTCCTAAGACCTATCACTGCTAACCTTTCGCACCTCCTCATTAGGGCATCTGTGCTCCTCCTCTTCACATGCCCGAACCATCTTATCTACTAAGAATCTTCATTTCCGCTACATGCATCTTCTGAACGTGTGAGTTCTTGACTGGTCAACACCCTGCTCCGCATTTTGGATTATCATAGGAGAAATTAATGGATATTGCTGCATGCTTCGAAAACTAGGTGCGATATCAATAGGAAACAAAGCTTTGATGTAATGGGTTCAATTTAGAGTAATGTATAGCCGTTCCCTTCTTTGCAGTCCAAGAATTAGATCCATGTATACCCTCAAGATTGTGTATCTTTAATTTATGAGCCTTTCAAATTAGGGTGAAAAACAAAATGAGCTAGGGTTACTTTCTTGAGTTTGTGTCCTGTCAATGATGAAAAAAAGAAGGAAAAATGAAATACACTAGCTTATGGTTCCGCTCTCCTCTATTTCACTACAACAACAACAACAAGAAGCCTAGTGAAATCACACAGGTGGGGTCGGGGGAGGGTAAAGTGTACGCAGACACTACCCCTACCTAATGAAGGTAGAGGGGCTGCTTCCGAAAGACCCTCGGCTAAAAAAAATATCATTGTTATCCCAAGGATTGGAGATCTGGTTAAGAATCCTTGTATACCCTGCTTGAATCAGTCTTAGTACATTGTTTATTGTTTCCTTTTCAATCCTACTATGCCTTTGTAGTTGTTGGCAATGATGTGTTTGGTACTCCTTATGAATGTCACTTCTCTTTTATAAGATGAAAAGGGAAAAGGAAGAACTTGAATTCTTTTGATTTCAGTGTTAAATGTGGAGACACTTGTTGTGGTTAATTTCTTTTATTTCAAAAGAAGAATCTGGTATAAATTAGGCAAATTCAAAATAATAGATGCATCAAATGTGATTAGAGGACGTAGGATATGAAACCTTATTGATCTACTTTGGCTTAGAGACAATTATATCTTAAAAAAGACTCTGTCGACATGCTGTCACTTCTTGTTTCTTGATTGCCTCATTGATAGGTTTCTCCTCTTTTCTCTTACATTGATGAAATGGTAGTGTTGTTTTTTATAAATAAAACATGAACTTTTTTTTTTTTGCGCTAGTTCAGATTAGGATTTTGGAAGTTCTCTGGTTCAGGCGCAAAGTTCGACAATTGGGAATTGAATGGGGATTCAAGTCTCAAACATTAGTAGATAACGTTACAGAGTCAAAAATACACTGACAAAGAGAACATTGTTGCTGTGTCTGTGAATCATCTGCTTTCTAGAATGAATCTTTGACCGTTTTCTTCTGTATCTCCTCACATTGATGAAAATGGGTGTTACCATAAAATTTCATTGTTTTTTCAGTTAGGTTTGGGGGGGGGGGGGGGATGAGATTTCTACTTTTGGTACAAAGGTCGACATGTAGGAAAGAGAAGAGGATTTGAGTCTTAACATGACTAGGACACATCAAGGTGTTGACCATGCAACCAAGCCAGATTGAATTCAATTTTTCTCATTTTTGTGGAAGACATATTGTAGATTTAGCTACATGACTTCTATTGTATATCACTAACAATTTGACGCATCTCTTACAAATTTAGCATGGACCCTACCATTGACTGGTTTCCTGATCAATACAATGCCTTAATATGGATTTGCTGTAGAGTGGCTTGAGTGATGTTAATTAACAGCTCCTCTTGATATTTTGTGGTATATTACTCCTACAAACTTGTGAAGAATTCTTCAAACCAATGTGTTTAAATGACATTTCAAAGGAGATTCAAACTTGAAGTAAAAGAGATAGCTACAAGGCATCTTTTTTATATTTGTTGCTTCCTACCTTCAAAAGTTTTGCTCCACAATATGCCATCAGCCATAGAAATATAAGTTATAGTTGTTTTGGGAGCCTTGAAGTTGATGGCCATAAACTCTGGTGTGTGGTACAGCACGGAGGATGCAAATTAAGCCTTCTGTTTGGTAAATGTGTAATTACAGTTGCCGCATAGTTACTCTATGTTATACTATCATATGTTATTCACACCTCGGTCCTAATTGTGCTATAATTTATTTGTAACTTCCTTCTATGTTTTGCACCATATGTGGGATTTTTACAACTGGATCTAGCTTAATTGACTGAGAGATAATCCTACTGAATAAATGAAATAGGACTCCACCATCTAATAGGTGCACAAGACTGATTTTCCCCTCTTTGCATGTAGTTTTTAGTTCACAGGAAGAGTTTGTCCCTTCATTTACCATCTCCTCTTGTACCTTTTACTATCAAAGTGAAATATGTGAAAGAAGAAGAAAAGATTTGATGTCTAATGTTATTGACGGTTTTCACTAGTATTGGTTATGTTGAGTCCGACCTAGACCAGCATAATGTAATGGTACTCACTCTTCGTCTATCCGTATCTACGTTGAAGATCTAATCTAATCTTAAATATTAGGCTTGTTATTTTATTTTTCCAGCTACATTTTTTTATTAGAAAACTTACAAAAGTAAGACTCTTGATTTTGTGTTCTAGTATGATTTCATTCTGACGCTTTTGAGATACCTCATGAAGTTTATTCTCCTGCTTGCTTCTGAAGATGAGTTGAACACAAGCCTATAACATGATCTAGGTTTCATGGTTTTGGACTTCAGCTTTGGAACTCCTATTTTTTTTTAATTGACATTTGATAGACTTATGGTAATTGAGAGGAGTTGAAAGTTATGTCAAATGCTAAGAGGGCCATGTTAAGGTGCCATTTGACTTAGGTGAGGAAAATTAGAAAACTATTCTGCATGTCTTTAGTATTTTGGCATTAACATGATGTAATACTGTTGAATTTGTTATCTCTTGTATTTCGATGTTGTATTTTATGAGGATGTAAAGATGGATGTGTGTGTGTACTAGGAGAGATAAAATTAGGAATGAAGTTATTCGGAACAAAGTGGTAGTGGTCTCCGTAGAGGACAAGATGCAGGAGTCGAGGATGAGATGGTTTGGGCATGTTAAGAGAAGAAGTATTGACGCTCCTGTTAAGAGGTGTGAGAGGTTGACCATGGCGGGTTTGAAAAAAGGTCGAGGCAGACCTAAGAAGTAATAGGGAGAGGTGATCAGACAGGAGTGGCGCGACTTCAGCTCACTGAGGACGTGACCTTTGATAGGAGGGTGTGGAGGTCGAGGATTAGGGTAGAAGGGTAGTAGGTAGTTGAGAGTTCCCCCCCTTTCTTACCAGTAGTACCGGTAGCACGCATGTACTTTCCTATTTCTCAGATTTATGTTACATCATCATGTTGCTTAGATTGTTTCAGTTATCGTATTCTCCTGTGGTTACTATTTTGGTAATACTTATTCTTTTCGCCCCCCTTTCTCCCCTCTCTTTATTTCTTTTTCTTCTTTTCCTCCCTCTGCTTCTTCTTATTCTTCTTCCTCTTTTCCTCCTCCCTACCTTTCTGAGCCGAGGGTCTATTGGAAACAACTTCTCTACCTTCACTAGGTAGGGGTATGGTTTGCGTACTCATTATCCTCTCCAGACCCCACATGTGAGAATATACTGGGTATGTTGTTGTTGTTGTATTTCAATATTGTATTTCAGGGGATTCTGCTGAACTTATCCCATGCATTTATTCATGAAGAGTTAAGACCGTAATTTCTCTACAATAGAGTTAAAGCACAAGGATAGACAAGTATGTGATCAGCACTTTGTTGATATCTATGTAGAATTTACATGCTTCAAATGATCTTTGTCTTGTTTCCCAACTTGCAATGAAGCTAATGGTAGACGACCGCTCCTATATGTTGATGGTGGTATTATGCAGAGAGAGGCTACATCTCATCCCACCGATGTTATAATAGTTGGTAGTGCTTGAGAACTTGAAAGTTTAGCATTAGCACTTTTGACAAAAGGTAAGCAAAAGGTATATATATATATATGTGTGTGTGTGTGTGTGTGTGATAAGTGAAGAGCTTATCTGCAAATGGAAAGAAATCATCTAGAGTAGGATTGAACAGAGATATTGGGTCTCTTTGAGGTGGCAAAACTGAATGGATACCATTGTCCCTCTCTATGGTAGCTGAGGCTTCTATTTGAGGTTTCATGACATTTAGGCAACTATGGCTTTTGTTAAGAATAATACATAAGTTAGTGTCGTTTAGATGCATGTTGGGGAGGAAGGATATTCGTCAGATTATTATTTAGGCTCTTTAGTCGTTGGTCATATTCAGTTTGCTTCATTTTTGTAGAGTGATAGTATGGCATGGGATGAAAATTAGTTTGTAGAATGGATTTCTTCTGGTCAGAGGTAACTATATAGAGTCTAACCACATCTAAGGCGGAAGGTTTCTCTGGTTATAGTTCTTCAATGTTATAGCCATATCCTTGGTTCTTATGTTCCTGTATTTGCATAATAAGTATTGCTTAGGTTTAGGGGCGGCAAACGGGCGGGTCAGATCGGATATGGGCAGGTCGAAAACCGGAATGCAAAAATGGATAAATTATCCGACCTAACCCATATTTAATACGGATAGAAAATGGGTTAACCGGCGTATAATGTGGATATTTATATTATCCATGGCTTCTTGAATATGATCACTTTGGGAGAATTTCTAATCTCCGAAATTTGGGGAACCCTCAATTTGAATCTTTACAAATGTAAAAGTTAAACCCATTAGTTATCTATTGGTTATCCATTTTCTAAGTGGATAATATGGTTCTCTTATCCATATTTGACCCGTTTTTAAAAAGTTCATTATCCAACCCATTTTTAATGGATAATATGGATGGATAACTGTTTTTTAATCCATTTTGCCACCACTACTTAGGTTCATGACATATGAGCAACATTTTTTTTACTTGTGCAGTAAGAAATTAGACGTGCCCCAGTTGGAGATTATAACATAGCTCTAGATGAGATCTTATGTTCTTGGATTTTGTGTACCGTAGGAAGTGTGTGCTGTGAGCATGAGTGCAGTATGTCATGATGGCAGTATTAACCCCTCAGCAGAATGCTTAATTATGTCCTAAACTATGTTAACCTATGCAGTCTTATTATTAAAAGGAGTCAAGTTCTGCTTCCATGATCAATCTTACGAGAAATTACCTTCCAATACCATATCCAAAGTTCCTTGCTGCACCTGAACTGATATGGCTCTCTGTGATGAAGATCCCCTGAATGGTAGACTAATCTACACTGCTTCAGTTTCACAGTAGTATCAGGGTGTGTGATTTCTGAACACAGGAAGGCCCAATGTTTCTCCTGTTTCACTTCCCATCACATTTCGTTTTCCTATGTGCCTGAACTGCATAATTCCTGTAATACTGATGTGTGAAAAATGAACTATTTTTTAATGGGAATTTTTATTCCTTTGCAGCATCTTGAAGACATGAAGCATAGTGTCCGACTTCTGTTTTTCCCTTCTGCAATTGCAAAGAAGGATTAGAGATTGATCTCCAAATTCTGAACAGATGACATGACAAAGACAGGTTATAGAGTTGGATACCTTGAGTGAAGCAGTGGTACCTAGAACCTAGTGCTATCCATGAATGTCATTATCTGCTTAATAACAACAAGAGGGACTGTGTAGAAATAAGAAGATAAGGTGCAGATTAACACCAACTGTCATCTTGGTAGAAAGTTTAGGACCGCTATCGTCTTCTCTTTTTTCAAAAAAGGTTTGACTCGTCTACAAAATAGTACCACATTCAAGTTTGACAAGTTAGGAGATGAGTGTGCCCTAGCTGACCATCATCAAGAAATGGACTTCACTGGAAGGAAATCATTATTCCCTCTACCACAAATTGAATCTCCTTGTTGAGTTGGCATGAAAATTCTGAAGATTTTGTTTGAGATTTTGTGGATACTGGTGGTTATAAGGGGGCCTGGGGGGATAAGCAATCTTTGAAGTCCGTCATACTAGAAGTTTTCCCACTATAAAGAACCTTTACACTGTAAAAGTAATTTAAAAGATGGCCAAACTTTCCTGTACAACAGAATTTGACAGGTTGCTAAATCCTTGAAGTTGATCTATTAATGGCGATCGTCGGTGAAAAGGTAGCATGTGGCCTTTATTCTAATCATGTGGCCTGTCAGTACCCTCAAGAGCTTGAAAAGGACAGTTCTATCCCTAACTATGATTTGATTCTAGACAAATGGGAGTCATAGTCCCCTATGTTGCTCAGACTCTCCAAAAATATTGCCGGGTGCGTGTTAGATCCTCCAAAAGTAGTGTATTTTTGGAGAATCCGACACGGGTGCGACATTATTTTGGAAAGTCCGCACAACATAGATAGTCCCTGATCTATTCTTTTATGTGACCTCTCTCCAGTTAAATCATGAATAGCTGAAGTTGCAGTACGTTCATACAATAGGTAGCTTTTCATGCCGCATCGTAATAATGGAATACTTAGTTCCTGTTCTCTGTCAATGTGTTGGATTGCCACTGGCTTATCGTGTCTTTTATAAAACACTTTGGAGAAATATTGCTATTGTCTTGTAAGATATCTTCGTTCCGTTTAAACCGTGTCTTCAACTTTAGCCTTCAGTCCAGCATCTTCAACGGTACATCTGACTGTAACTATGAGAATCTGTATGCTTCCTTCTTGCAGCATTTTGTTTATGTTTTTTTTGCTTTTGCCCCATTATCCTGCTCTCCATCTCCTAATTCTGATTAATTTGCTAAAATTTGCGGATAGGTGCTAATATCTTTTAAATCCTTTTCACACAGAGCTGTAAACAACAATGGCCCCAGGGCTTTGTTCTAGTGGTAAGAGCACAACCGATGATGTGTGGATTAGGCACCCGTCGCAGGTTCGAATCTTGCCTCAGACAAAGCCTGATATTTAAGTGGAGAAGGGTAGAGAGGCGGGCCCATCATATGCCGAGTTTTTAACCGTTTGGCCACCGAGGATCTCTCGGTAGTCAGGAAAAAGTGTAAACAATAATACACCACAATTTATGCATGTTGTAAAAAGAGGAAAGAGGAGAGAAACTCTTACTGAACTTCTCTTGTTAGAAAAGCTCTCGTGTCTTACTGAACATTTTTGGGTTAACATATAAGAGGGCTCTTTTTAATGGATTGAAGAATCCTAATTATTGGGGTTTTCAATTATGATATACTAGTTAATAGTTCTCTTAATAATGGCAGAGCATTAGGAGTAATTCTCACTAAGATCATTATGACACACTTTTAGACTAAATAGACTCCTTGTATCTTGGATAGGAGTTGAGCCAAAACTTTAGTACAGGTTCAACTCCTGATTGTTGCCGGAACAGTGGTCATCACCGAAAGGTCGTACTCACGGACTGCTATCGACACAGACAGAGAAACGCGCCTTGCAGCACATGGGAAAAATCATTTTTATTTAGCGGAAAGAGATTCTGGTGACACCAAATCTCTATTAAATCATGTAAGCTTGAATTAAAGTTGAAGGATAACAAGAAATTAATGGGGTTATTGCTGGCAAAGCCAGAGAAAAGTGACCGGAAGAGACGATGCCATCAGGATGGTTGGCTGAAAGAGATCAGCGTGGTGCCTCAAATGTTCTCTGGAAAGAAATGTGGAGCCTGAAAAGGCACAATGCTGCCTAAATGATGGCTGGAAATAAGAATAGTGCTGCCTAGAATGGTTATCAGAAAGAGGCAAGAGTAGTACTTAGATTTCCACAAATATCGTAGAAGCATAATATGCCTAATACCACATGGAAGGAGAGAGAGGAAGAGAAACTCTTGTTGGAACTGGTTGATAACATCAAGAGGGCTCCTTGTGGAAAAGTTTTGAACTATATATGAGATAAGGAAGTTTCATGTTCCTAAGGTTTCGTATTTACTACATGATATAATCACTAAGGATATTTTCCATATTATTCTTATTGATCCTTGTAACTTTCATTGATAATATAATCATTACCAAATTCTCTACTATTTAATTATTCTGTTAACTTTGAACATCTTTTTTTTCTTATTATAGTGGTGTCCGGGTCAATTTGCTCGCACCTTGACTATCCCACCGAAAAGCCTGCTGCAGCCCACCGTATACGTGTCGCGAAATCAGCTCACCATGGTGGGGCAGATAGGCTTATACCGAGTGTTATAGCTTAGCTTTGGACCTGAGATCTCAGGTTGTTACTAATGTGTCTCAACTACTCAACCATTTCCTTGTTCAACGACATGAAGTGGCTATGGTAGAAACCTTAGCATGCATATTTTTCTTTGACTAGTTGACTACTAATTAACCAGTGAAACTTACCCTAACCTCAGAAGTTGGAGTTGCCAGTTGGTGATTCTCCTCCTTTGTTTTGTTGTATCTTTCAATCACCGGCTTCATGCTGTCAAAGTAAATATATTCAGAATTGTCTACGTTGTACTGATTGAGCAAATATTTTGGAGTGTATCACAAAGTTGTTCTGCTTGTTTCTAGTCTAGCCTCTACATACGTAATAGTTAAATTGTGTTGATTTCCCTTGTCAAAACAAATTGTGTTGTCTCCATACTAGGTCATTGTAATTAAATACTGTTTTATCTAATAAGAAAGGACTCGAATAAAACAGGGCTAATAATATCTTTTGCGGCCTCTTATTAACACGATGGCTGCAGGTCTGGCATTTTCTTTTCTCTCTTTGTTTTTCAGTTGAATGGAGTTGAGAGTGATGGCTCGCAAAACCTTTACAAAGTGAATGGTACTGTCTTTATGGTAGGTCTCTGAAGTTTGTTTTGCTCCTTTTACTCTAATTTCATGTACCAATCATCAAGGTATGGATCTAATGAGCATAAGAAAGCTTGTTATCTTGAACACAAGTTATTTCTGTAGGCATTCTCTGTGCTGCTTCTTAATTCTATACTAGTTATTGAATGTTGATGAAGTGATAAGGAATTGTCTAGACATACAACCTGAATTCAGATAAAGAATATAACATGGGGATATTTCAAATGATAACCCAAATGCATGACAACCGTGTATTTTGTGGTCCAATGTTCAAGTTTTTCCTTACTAAGGATTGTATAGTCTATCCAAATTCTATTCTATTAAACCTTTTCAGTTTTCAATACAAGATTTCTTGGAATACCTTCAAGTAAACGCCCCCTCATAAAAAAGAGAAAGGAAGAGAATTTCCTAAAACATAACTAGCATAATGTAAATGCATGCAAGAGATGCATAATGATAACTGCAACGGTAGTTAAGGAACTATCTGTAGGTTTGTGGGTGAAATAAGGTAAGTATTGGGATCCCGAATATGATATAAAGAAAAGAGGTCCAGTCTCTCGGGTCAAACTTTCCTTGCCTTTCTCTTCTGTTTAACATATCTTTATTTCTGTTTAAGTCTCCTTTTCTGTTTGTCGGTCTGTCTGTCTGATGGAGTATTTCTGAAGCATTCATGACATTGAAAGCAATTGTTTAGTGGTAGAATGGTAATAGATAGAATAATTCTAACAACAACAACAACACATAAGCAATAGTAATTTGTCAGCCAGTAGGGTAATGGGGGTGTTATGGTATACTTTATGAATAGTTTTAGTGACTCAATGAGAAATGCTTAGTGAAATCATGATATAGATATATTTAGCTAGAATAGAAATGCTGGCAATCAGAAGATAGCACGAAATGATTGGAACAACAAATTTATTGGGCCATTTGTTATTTCAGACTTCTTTCTGTACTATGGAGGACTGTATTGGTCCACCCCTGTTTTGGGACGTTGAGTACATATATTCTTTTTTTGGAAGTCTCCTCAGTGGCCGTCTCTAATTTCCTCTGTTATTTGGGTTTGAAATCCAACATTGTTGACATAGAAATTGGAAATGGCTAGAAGTCAAGCCAAATTGTAGTTCTAGTGCCATGATGATAGTTTTGCAAACAAAATGTGACACGGCTTCTTAAGTCTGTTTTGCACTAGAACATGCAATGCATCCCTTTCCTCTGTATGTATGTCATACGGTCTATGCTTGAATGTAGGGGTGTTCAAACCGAACCGGAAAACCGCACCAAACCGAAAAACCAAACCAAACCGATTAAAAAACCCGACTAGGTTTGGTTTGACTTGGTTTGGTATTGAGTAAAAAAACCCGAACCAAACCAACATATAAATATATAAATTTTATTCATATTTTTAAGACTTTGTAGTGATTTTTCTTTAGAAAATGTAGAAATATTTGGGATCCTCTCATGTATTAACCTTGAAAGCGTAAATTAACGAAAAATTATTGTTAGACAGACTAAGAAAATAACTATCATGTGTTACTAAAAAATTTCTCCCATTAGAATATTTTAATAGATCATATGTTTGTCAATTTTTTCCATATTTACTAAACATATATTCACTTATCAAAGCTTTATCTATAATTTTAATAACGTAAGATTGAAATAATATTCATGTAACAAAAAAACCCGAAAACCCGACAAAACCGAACCAATCCAAACCGATATAATTGGTTTGGTTTGGTTTTGATAGAAATCGAACCAACCCGGTCCATGTACACCCCTGCTTGAATGTTATCAAAACCAGAAGCACAACGAAAAAGGAACACATTCATGCATGAGACACAGAATTGCTTGATGTTCCGGAATAATAGTAAGAACAAGATACTAGAGTAGTTATTTCAGAGAGGAGTGATGAGAAAAACTTAAGCATATATATTCTCATTCTGGAGTCCTAACGGAAAAACGATCGTCATCTAGAGTTCGTCACTCATGTAACTGCTGGTGTAACTAGTTCTATTGTCAGAAAGCAGCACCGGGAAATAGTATCATCTGCATTGAAATACCGGGCTTCGTAATACATGCCTTTGTAACCCTTGTAGCAGAGTTCTAATATCATCTGTATTTCTGCTGGTTTCCACTTTTCAATGTTCCTCCTATATTTTCTTGTGCAATATATTCAGACTCGTCTCCGACTGTTAAATTATATGATTAAATGAGGAATCTACCATGATTATAAGTTGAGCTATATGGTGTGACTGCTATTCAGATAGTGTTCTAGTGAAGTTCTCATAATAATTTTGTGGTTAAAGATGTTCTATTTTTTTGGGGTAATTAAACATTTATTAATCACCAAGGTAGATCTGTTCAAAGCCATAGTTAGTTAAACTCGACTAACCATCTAAAAACAAGAAATTATCAATTCCTCTATCTACCATCCTAGGAAATTTAAAACGAACAAGATTGAAATTAACTCCTAGTTCTAAGAAGTGATCTAGCACAACACATGTAAGCTATCTATTTTGCAATGGTGACCCAATCTTTACTCTTATGTTCAAAGATCCTTTGGTTCCTTTCTATCCATATAGCTTGCACTATTTCTGTATATAGCAACTTGGAAATCTAGGCAGCTGGTGATTTTCCTTTGGCATTCTCAATAGTCCACTGTTGATATTGCATCCATGCAGTTGGAAAAGCTGTATTTTTCTTCTTCCCCCGTAGCAGTACCCTGTCCCATATCTTCCTTGAGAGTCTACATTGGACAAAGAGATGTCCATTTGTCTCATTGTGTTCTTGGCATAGGCTACACTTTAGTTCCACATTGAGTCCCCATTTTACTAGCCTATCGGCAATGAGTAATCTTTCATGCAAGTGAAGCCACATGGTAAATCGTGCTGTAGGTCTAGCATTATTGAAGAACATTAGGCATTTCCATGGTATTCTTGGTAGGTCTCCTTGGTGCAGGTTGGTCCAGTAGTTGCATCATGGTAATTCTTGCATCAAAGATCTTCCAAACCATCCAGCATGCACATTGTGGCACCTTCACGTTAGCAAATTGCTGACCATTGATGTAATAATTATGAATCCATCGGTTCCATAACTTGTCAGTTTTATGTGCTAAGTCCCAACACAATTGCTGCTCTATTCCATAACCTTAAGATCATGTGGTTGAGCCCAACTGTAGATTTAGGGGAGCAAACCTTTTCCCATGCAATCAAAGCCTTCTTACTTATAGTGTTGACTCCTGGCCAAACATAACTACGACAATATGCATCTATGATATCCAATACCTTGGCAGGGATCATGAAGAAGAGTCGAGACTAATAGGCTTGGATGCCAAATATACTGATTTGACCAGTTGTATCCTCTCAGCATAGGACAGTTTTATAGCAATCCATGACGAGATTCTTTTAACTATATTCTGAACAAGAGGCTGCCATTGTTCTGTGGTCAACTTCTTAGTTGACAAAGGTATGCCCAGGTATCTGAATAGTAGATCCCCATAGGTGTATCGCAGCAGCTATAATATTTTATCCTTTTCTTCATGTATCACTCGTCCGCAGTATAATGAACTTTTGCCTAGGTTAGCTTGTAAGCCTAAGCCAGAGCAAAATTGATGAAAGCACTGATGAAGGTGATATACAGACCCCACATCTCCATGAGCAAAGAGCAAGAGGTCGTTTGCAAAGGACAAACATGTAATCCCAGCTTAGCACATTTGGGGTGAAATCTGAAGGCCTTCTCATCTTTCAAATTGTTCAATTGCCTGCTAAAATATTCCATTACTATGGTAAAAAGGAAAGGGGATATTGGATCCCCTTGTCTCAGCCACTTGCAACATCAAATGGTTCAGTTGGCTCATCATTGATCAAGATAGAGTAGTTGACTGTTCTAAGGCATTCCATAATCCATTCAATGAATTTTCTAGGAAAAGCCGATTCCTCCAAAACCTGTTCCGGATAGCATCATTCAACTGTGTCATAAGCTTTTTGGAGATCAATCTTGGTCATACACCTAGGAGATACATGCTTCCTAATGTAAGCCTGGACTAGCTCAGCCAAGATGATGTTATTTGTTATTTTCCTTCCTAGTATGAAGCCTGCTTGTGCTTCACAGATAATGTCAGGTATTACCTTTTGTAATCTTGATGCTAAGATTCTTGAGATAATTTTATATAGAACAGTGCATCAGGCAATTGGTTTATATTCTTTCACTATGAGAGGATTCTCAGACTTAGGGATCATTGTGAGTGTAATGCAATTAAGAGCTCTGTATAGATTTCCTGTTGTGAAGAATGCTAAAACAACATGGTCCACTTCTTCCTTAATTATATGCTAGGTCTTTTTAAACAAGACTGCATTGTACCCATCAACCCACGTGCCTTGTCATCTCCAATCGAGCATAGGCTATCATAAATCTCAGCAGTGTTAACAGCCTCACACAATGCCAATTGTTATTGATGATTTAACTTTGGTCCTTTCTGCATGATCAACCTGTTTGTTGCAGGTAGTTCCTTGGCTGAGGTCCCCATGAGGCTTTCTAAAAAGTGATGATTTCCTTCTTATAGCCTTTGGATCAGTGATCTTATTTCCTGCTATTATATTGAGTTCCATTATTTGTTTCCTGACTGTT